AAAATCCTACAATAGCCAGTGTCTGTATATGTAAAGGAGCTGCGGGTATTCTTGCAGCGCCTGGTATACTGATGACTTTTCATACTCCACCTTGCCCAAGCTCCCTGTCCTTTGTATAACTTGATAAAGAGGAGTGCCATATGCGACGGAGACAGAAAGGCTCAAGAGGCTTCTGAGAAGGCTAAGATCCTTATAGGACAGGCTAAATAGCTGTGTGCCCCATTTTCCCAGTTTTAGAAGTCACCAGAAGCTCAGAAGGCTATAAAGCTAGAGAAAAAAAATAACCCGAGCTAATAGTGACAGTAGGGTTTTGGACTTTGGCATGAAAAGCAGCAGAACCTTGGTACACAGTACTAGAACAGCTGTATATAAAGCATTACAATGGCAGAATCCATCACTGACCTCACCTCAATAACCATAAAAACAGCTTATTCAATTAATGGCTGGATTAAAGGCCTTCTGGAAGTCTCCTTTCTGGGGTGACATAAAACTCTACAAAGGTGGGATGCTTATCTACAGCAATGTGGTGTAGTGCCTGCAAGCCCTGACACCAATGCCATGTACACTGTCCTGGGACCACTGTCCTTTTAGGCCTCTCCAATAACTGAACCAATATCTAACCCAGATGAAGTGTTAAAAGAGACACCACTCATGCTTCTAGGTAGATGCCTGATCCACAGATCATACGAGGAGCACCAAACAGGAATGGGTAGCTGTAGCAATACAAGTGAACACAGACACCGTGTGGTTGGAGAAAAGTAGCCAATGGTTAAGGGCAGTATGTATAGACTCATGAGAGTTGGTCTGTACTGATAGTTGGCCTATATAGTGAGGCCTCAGTTAGTGGATGGCCCAATGGGAAAAGGAAAACTGGCAGGTGTTGAGTCAGCAACTGTGGGGTCAACATATGTGGAAAGAAATATAAAACAGAGTATAACAGGAATCAGAATCTCTGGTACTTTTCCATGTGGCAGCCCATAGCTCATTGAGTTCCTGGAAAACAGGAAGCAGATACCCTTACAGGCCATTTGCCCTCAGGTGCTACTAGAGGCTGCTCAAGTGGGATCACGTAAGTCTGGTCATAGAGGAGCCAACACCAGTTTGAAAATAACTAAAGCCCATGGCATTTCTATAAAATATTCTGATACATTACACGCCATCTAGCTAGGTGAAGCTGTTCTCAATTGAAGCCTCAGCAGATGGATGCTATGATGGAACATGTGCATAATTCAACTTGCCCCAATAAGGGACTGGACAAATAGACTACATAGGGTCTATGCCTTTCAGTGAAGGATGCAAATATGACTTCATCTATATGGTGGAGCAGACAGAGCAAGAAACTCATGGGTTTTACTTCAGTTCAGTTCTGTGGGGTCAGAGACAAGATAAAAAACTTAACTGAGCCTCTATTTGTAAGAATTTAATAATCTGCACATATATTTTGAAGATTAAATGAGGTATATAAAAGTACATTGTAAAATGCTATGTAATCTTCCCTGATGTTTATTATTTTAAAATTAACATTCTATAATTCACTGTTTAACTTATGTTTATAATCCTGGATTGATTGTAAAAATAGTGCATAAGATTTCCATACACCTTTTACCCAGATACCACCCCCCCCCAAAAAACATGATATATGGTTGGTTTAATCTCATACATCAGAAAATTAACACTGATGTGAGGCTGGGATGTATGTAGCTCAGCTAGATGGGTACTTACCAAACATGCACAAAGCCCTGAGTGATATTTCCAGCACCACATAAAACTAGGCATGGTGGTACATGCCTGTATTCTCAGCACTGGGGAGGTAGAGGCAGAAGGAACAGAAGTATCCAGGCCATGGCCAGTGGGACAGCTCAAAGGTACTTGTCATTAAGCCATAGAATCTGAATTCAAGCCCTGGGACTCACAAGGCAGAAGAGAACTGACTTCAACATGCCTGCTATGGCTTGTGCATATCCACACACACAGAAAAATAAATCTCAAAGTCAGCTTGGACTACATAGGGAGTCCACGACTAGCCTGGGCTACATGAGACCATGATCTTGATAATGCTGATAATCAACGTTGAAGGCTACATGTCTGTTATTACACACAAATACCCTTCAGTTGGGATTTGTCTTATGTTTTCTCATAGTTAATATTTTGGTTTATTTATTCATGCCATCAAGGGGTGGCATAATGGCAAGAATATAGTTTCCTAGTTAGATGCACAGACTAGTCACAACATCTAGATCCAAAATTTGGCTCAAACAGACCACATGACATTGGTTTTTGTGACTCAATGTCTTCATTTGGCATTTGGGGAAACAGTATGCATCTCCTAAGGCTGCTGGGATTAGTAAACAAGTGAAAATATATAATGTGGTTAGAACATCAAACATCGTTAGCTAAAATGAGGACCTTGGGTGTTCAGTGGCTTAACTAATAGGAAGTATGTCCCTGGCGGTCCATGAAGAGACCAAAGCAGCAGCAGGTGTTTTAGAAATGCTTATCCTTTGCTCTGATCTAGTCAAAGGGCAAGGGCCAAAGACCTACTGCCAACAGGAATGATGGCTCACCATGAGCTATACTGTTCATTTCAGCCACAGACCTGCTTCCAGTTCTTGGTCTCAAGACACTGGAGATCAGGACTTGCTTGACTCATGAAGGAATGTTTCTTTAGTACAATGGATGAGTGTACTAGGCATTAAGCTCTGGTTTCTTGCCCATTCATTGAAGGGGGGAAATGTGAATAAAAATGCAGTAAACCCAGTCCCCCCTTTTCTGATAACTATTCTCAGAACTCTGGCCTTCAGGCTTCATTAGTATGCAGCCAGCACTTCACCTATAGATGCATTCACTACATAACCATAGTGATAACCTCAGCCCCTAACCTCTGCATGTGTTTCTTGTTGAAGAGGCCAAACCACTCAGACCCTCACAACAGCTACGGCATTGGTCAACCTAAGGCAAAGAAGGGAGACAGAGAGAGAGCTGACCACTAGGTTGGACAGGGGAAGGGAAGAAATCCTGAAAAGACTGATTTTAAAAATTAGAAAGCATCTAATATACATCTATGAAAACTTGGTAAATGTTCATTATACAGTGAATTAAACGAGCCCTTAATGTAAAAATAACTACAATTCCACCTAAGGAGCAAATAACATTTTACAAAGCAATTTTGATTCTTTATCTCATTTAAATTCCACCATACTGAATAATATTTTACAGGTGAACAGAGGGCAGATAGGAATGGCTCTAAGTGGCTAAGTGGCAAAGCTGAAACTGTAACATGGGACTTGCCTCTGAATATACTACATTTCCCACTTAACACAAAAGAAAACATGGACTAAATAGAACTTAAAGACTAACAGGATTAAAAGGCTACCAAGAGGCAGGAGAGACGGCTTGGCAGTTACGAGCATTGATTGCTCTTGCAGAGGACCCAGGTTTGATACCCAGAACCCACATGTGGGCTAAGAACCATCCTTAACTCCACTCCAGTTCCAGGGTAATCTGACATCCCCTTCTGACCTCCATTATACTGCATGACATGAGTGCACTCACATACATGCAGGCATACACATAAAATTAAATTGTCTTTTGAGACAGGGTCTCCCTGTAGCCCCAGCTGTCCTGGAACTCACTATGTAGACCAGGCTGGCCTTGAACTCACAAAGATCTACCTGCCTCTGCCTCCCAAGTGTTCATATTAAAGGCATGCACCACCACCACACCCGGCAATATATATATATTTTTAAAGGCTACCAAAACACAGAGACTAAGTGTAAAATACAACACAACCAGTTTTGGTGGAGCAATTGTTTCTTTTTTCTTTTTGAGACATCACTATCCTGTCAGGCCTAGAACTCGTTATACAGACCAGGCTGACCTGGAACTCAAAAAGATCTGCTTGCCTCTGCCTTGAGAATGCTGGGGTTAAAGGAGTGAGTACACCTCCACACCTTACACAATTGGTTTGTTAACAGGCAAGGACAGTGGGGCTTTTCCAGAAAAGGGTCTTCCACAAGGGTCTGAGTGTAGCCTGAGCAATAGGAGGAGGAATGGGGGAAGGCACACGTATGTGCACCTTTGGGACTAGCTTTCAAGCTATTGTAAAAGTCATTCATCCTCTGCTACTTAAGAACCAGTTTCAACGGGCTGAAGATATGTATTACACAGAATACACATCACATTCCCTTCAGTGTGTGAGGAACAGCAAAAATGTATGCTGCAAACTTTTAATATGCATTTGTGGAGCCAGTTAGGGTTTTGTAGGTATTTGTTTGTTTGCTTGTTTTTTTGGTGCTAGAGATCAAATCTAAGACCTTGTGTATGCTAAGTACACACTGGACAACTAAGCTACATCCCGATTGGACCTTTATTTATGTGATTTTAAGATATGGTCTTGGGGCTGGAGAGATGGCTTAGTGGTTAAGAGCACTGACTGCTCTTGCAGAGGACCTGGGTTCAATTCCCAGCACCCACATAGAAGCTATGAACCGTCTTTAAGTCCAGTTCCAGGGAAATCTGAAACCCTCTTCTGACCTCCGCAGCACTGTATCACATGGGTGCACTTGCATACATGCATGCAATATGTTCATACACATAAAATAAAAATAATAAATAAAATTTTTTAAAAAGATATGGTCTTATTAAAAACCCCTACAAATACCTTATCCTCCCCAAATTGGGTACTGCTATAAAATGTCATTTGAAGCCGGGCGTGGTGGCACAAGCCTTTAATCCCAGCACTGGGGAGGCAGAGGCAGGCAGATCTCTGTGAGTTCAAAGCCAGCCTAGTCTACATAGTGAGTTCCAGGACAGCTGGGGCTACAGGGAGACACTCTCTCAAAAAGATCCCCCCCCCAAAAAATGTCATTTGAATTCATGTATAGTCAACCTTTTGTGAAATGTGAATGCAAACAGGATATTAGATACTTACTTCCTGTCACTAAATTGCTTCCATGTAATTTTGATGTTAAATTGACACTTTTCAAAAACCAGTCTCAAAATTCAATTGTATCATACCAAAGTTTATTTATTACATTAAACAAAAACTTCTGTAATGAAAAAAGGCAAGTCGCATTCATAAAAGATGGCATTCACGTTCATTTTAGAAAGCAACAAAGTAGATGTAAAAAATTGCTTAAGTGAAAAATGTAATATTGCAGTTCCATTTTACAAGCTGAAAAATGATTTTGTCAACACTTGCATAAAATCCGCACATTTATATACTGCATGTTATTTTAAAAAGTCCATCACTAAGTTATGAATCTGCAAATTTAGGCTTACATTTATACTGTTGCTGGTGTATATGTTATAGATATGGAATGAATATTTTCAGTTTAAGAGGCAACATCTTTAAACAATAGACAACAGTTGGGAAAATAACAAGGACATTTTGACACGCCAAAATTATTTAAATTACAGGAATATCATCCTACTGTTAGATTTCCTGCCTTCCTCTGTCATAAGAGTAGTTAGACTGTAGTGCTAGAATATTGGATGGCTCATGTCAAGTTATTTTATCTACTAATCCCACGCTAGACATGCTTTAAACCATTAATAAAAATACCTTTCAAAGGCAGGTTCCTCTGAGTGGAGCTGCAGTATACAGTGTAATGTGTAGCTCAGATATGACTCTAAATTCCCATATTGCTCATCTAGTTCTTTCTCTTGCTGTAACACTTGTTATATGTAACCAGTTTTATTTCTACTATTTTGGATATTCTGATTGTGTCAACTGCTCAATAGTTCTGCATTAACCAAGCCTCTCTATCTGGCTCTTATCTGTATTCACAGTCCCTATAGTTCTGATGTAAAACAATAACATAAAGCAACAACTATGCCGCCAACAACAACAAACAGCAAAGCTTTCCTGGGTTAGATTTTTTTTTAGCTCTTTGGAATAAGCAAAGAATAGAAAGACTTTGCCTTCAGCAGATCACCTCAAACACAAGCTATGACAATACAATACACTGAAGCAAGTTGTGAATAACATCTAACAAAATACTCAAAAATAATACTGATAGGTGAGAACAAATTAAATTAAGTAATTATGGAATGGTTTCTGGTAACTGAAATTATGACCTTTTAAGAATTTAAGAAAAATTACACCTAAACATTAACACAATATATACACATACATATACGCATATATATATATATATATATATGCATACACACATACATACACACACACGCACGAATCAAATGTGCCATATGGACTATATAAATATATTGGAATAGAATGAATATAATACTTTCCAAAATCAAGGTATAATATAAACATTAAATAGTACAGGCATGTCAAAAAGACAAAAATGGAAATTAATAGAAAGATATTTTTCTAAAGACCTTTGTAGCCTAGTTACCAAATATGTTCCTTTTAGAGAATAAAGACGTTTCACATTGACTTTTGTGTTTTAAGTGAACTCATTAGGGGCTAAAACCTCTTTCTAGTGCAGCAAGTTGAGGACCTTATTAAGGTCAATTTCATAGTTTATAATTAGATCACTTCCCTTGCCCAGTTAGCTATAGGAGACATTCATGTTTGTAGAGTCATGGCTCTACAGGTTGAACCGCTTTGGGATGGATCTCTCCTCTTCCCAAATTGGCAACTTAAAAGAAAAAAGTGCTGTATGTAGGCACAAAGACAACCTATTTCAAAGAAAAACCGTTAGTACTTTAAAATAAGCTATCCTTCCTCTCTTCTCAACATAAAATTATAAAAGGCTGATATTCAGAATGGCCTTTATTTTGTATAAATCTTTTATCCACCTTACCTCAGATACCAGCAAAATTCATGTTGGAAATATCTGTTTAACTGCCTAATTATTTTGAGGCACTACTAAGTAACTGAAATGTTTTATGTTCAAGTCTAGTAGTCTTAAATACATAAGTGTTTAATTCAGAAGAAAATATACAAAATAAACTTTTTTCCCCTGTTCCCACAATAATACCGAGTTAACAGTTCTACACAAAGTGTTCAAGGTATGTTTTGGCAAAGATGTTCTACCAAGACAATTAGCCTATGGTTGAACAGAAGATGAACTATTTTGTCTGATATGTTAGTATCACTTAGTCCTTCTGTATTTTCAAGTATTCCTTGTGTGTGTTTGAAAAAGAATTAAGATAATCATTCAGCAGGGACAAGAAATGCAATACAAAGAGCTTATGTCTTCTGCCAGGCAAAAAAGTAATACTGTATTAGCAAACTCTGTTCATTCCCATCGCATAACTTCTATTTTATACTACTATATTTAAATCCATTCACATAGCCAGTGGGTTAAAAGAGTGCCCATCTGGTAGTTAGTCTATCTAAATCCAGAATTCGAAGTATTCTTACTTTTAACTTTCATACAATTCTTAACTTTGGCCATAATGGCTACTTACAATAACTGTAAATGCTTAGGAGGGTTATTTGGTATTTTAATGAACATTTATTCTGAATCCTAGAGATGAGAGTGGTTTTGTTGCATATTAAGTATCCTGAGTTGATAACTTTTGTAGTTGTTCCTTCATGCTTTCTTTTTTAGCTGCAAGGACGGTCAACGTGTTTGTAGGACAATAACATAGGCAGTTCAAGATTCGAATTCTGAAAAGGTTAAAATATAGAAAGTTAATTTTGGTAATAAACCATCTGTTTAACATTTTAAAAAATTAGCCAAGTAGTAAAATTTGTTATGAAATTAAAGCAACTGTTTCAACAAAAGTGCCGAGTTTTATTCACATGCAGGAGGGGAAAAAGAGTGATACAATAAGCAGATTTATAATCCTTTCTTCATTTGTCAGCTGAATAGATTCAGGCTTGCTCTCTGCTTTTGGATTGCTCCAGGGTTCTCCTAGCAGCTTTTACCACTGGGGTTATCTATCAGTCAGGGAACTGCTGAACACAGGAACATTATCTTTTATTCTCCAGCCTCTAGTATAATGCCTGGCACATGGAAGATGCTCAGGACATGTTGAATGGATGGCTTAATTTTTTGGATGTGTGAATTTTTTGATGTGTGTGTGTCTGTGCATGGGTGTGCACATGCATGTAGGGGGCCAGAAGTCAACCTCCTCAGTCATGCTTGGGTGCAGTTCACCTTGTTTTTTGAGACATGCTTTTTCAATTAGACCCGGGACTTGCCAATTAGACTAGACTTGCCAGTGAACTCCAGTCTTGTTTCTGCCCTTCCAGCACTAGGATTACAAGTATAACACTATGTCTGACTTTTTATGTGGGTGCTGAGAATTGAACTTGGGTTCCCATGTTTGCACAGCCAGCACTTTACTAAGCTATCTGACTAGCCCCTGGGTGTGTCAATTTTAAAGGCATAGTTCAGTTGGAAAGGTTTCTGTGAAAATATCCCTTTACTAAAGCATCCCTCCTATTTTCATACCGTTAAAGTTATTTTTCTTTTTCACAGATCATGTACTATGAGTCAAACAACTATTTTTTTTTCTTATTCACCATCTATTGAGAAGAATCCAAGAAATTGCACTAATAAAGCTATAGATTCTTCTCTCTCCTCTAACCATCATTACATGCTGTGATCAGGATGGGGATATACAGACAATCTGATCATTGAATATAAGACTAAAGTTATATATCATAAGAGGTAACATATCTTTGATTCTCCACTTTAAAACTCAAGTTTTAAAATATTTATTCTCTCTCTCTCTCTCTCTCTCTCTCTCTCTCTCTCTCTCTGTTTTTTCTCTCTGTGTGTGTGTGTGTGTGTGTGTGTATTCTACGGCATGTGTGTGGTGGTAGAGGACAACATTCAGGAGTCAGTTCTTTCCTCTCACCATGTGGGTCTTGGGGATTGTCAGGCTTGGTAGCAAATGCCTTTATCCAATGAGCCATCCTGCTGAACCACAGTATTGGAAGGCCTTAAAGAGAATGTTATTTCGTTATCATTCTGGGACACCTTTCCTGCCATGATTGGACTATAAGTCCATTCGAATACCCTCAATTTCTACTTCTGTTCCTCAGTCTTCAGAACCACTTATTAGGTCTTCAGGTCATAGTGCCTTTAACTAAAATAAAGGTTGTCATTCACACTGAGAACATATGAAAGGAATCAGGTTATTCCCTTGCCAATCAAGGAAGAAACTCAGTGGCTAAATTGCCAAATATTTTCCTTGGAGGAGAGATAATGCCACGTGAAATCAATTCCTAGAAAAAACAACTACATTAAAATGAATCAATTTTTCTTAACCTTCCTGAGTTCTAGATATTGTAGGAGGTGTGGCCCTGGAGAGACCAAAAGCAGTGGCAGTGTCTGCTACCCAGCACAGACCCCAATCCACAGATCAAGCTAAAGAAAGCAATCCAGGGGGATACTAAATAAATGAGAAACACTATGGCTAAAATGCATGTTATAGCTGAGGACAAGGAAATCTGGAACAAAAGGGTCAAAAACTTTGAAAGGTACTAAGAAGTAGATTCATTACTAAGGAGAAACACATGTAGGCAGAGCCATTCAAAACAGGAAATATATGCTGATGGCAGCAAAAGGGATTTGCTTCCAAAATAATACAGATACAGAATATGATGAACTACAAGAGGTAAAAGAACCAACAAGTACAATATGCTAATTCAATTTTTATTATTTCCAGAAGAGGAATAAACAGCTGACAAAAATGGGCTTAAAGTAGACTAACAGATTAAAAGTAAATTGACCCAGAATTTTATTCATGCCATCACTAATTTCTATGTGTACATAAAAATCAGCCCTGCTGCAAATTGTACATTTTAGTTTCTAAACAGACAAGCTTATAAGCTTCATTCATGAATTACTCCAAGTTTTCATGGATGGATAAAATACCTTTCAAGATCTGGAGTGCCAGAGGCCACTGAAGTAGGAAATTCAGAGTGCACATGAAAAGAATCATTCCAAGTTCAAGGGTTCCTTTCATGGTAAATTAATTCCCCTCAAATCATTGTGAGGTAAATGAAACAATATTTTATAAAAATGTTTGAAGCATGAATTATGAAACATCTTATTTCATTAAGCATGCATCCCCCTGAATGGCTAGGAAAGATTTTACCTCTGAGAGTTGAAACATTTAGCTTGGATAAAACTTGACATTAAAAACATTATGATTAGAATAGACTGGATCATTAACATATATTTGGGGCTTAGAAATTTACAAGGACACATTAAGTATATACCTTCAAACACACAGACACAGCACATAAAGGTACAATACAAACACATTTGATTATTTTCACGTAGTTTCCAAACAACATGCAATGCTAAACTGACTTGATATTATACAGATGCAATTTTGGAATATTTATTTTCAATTTTCCAAATGATCTTCCTAAGCCAAAATTATATTTTCTGATCAGTATCAAACATTTTCACATGATGGTACAGACATGACAATTTGCCACTCACAAATTGAATACACAGTATTAACATTCGGCTCTGAAAAATGTCTAATATTTCATTAAGGGCTTCAGCAAATTTAAAATGTATATTTTCTCCATATTCCAAGCAATGCATCTTTATATTTTTTGCAAAGAATATAAAGTTCACCACACCAACAGCGGAGAAAATTTAGAGAGTGATATTTCATTTTTTTCTTTATAATGCTGTTAATCTGCTTTTATTGTTAAAGCCAGCCCACTTGTTTAACACTAGGTACCTGTTACAATATATTAGATTCATCTGAGAATGTTCGTAAAAGAAGTGGTCTGACTGAAGGTCTGGAGGATAATGAGTCAGATGCCCTTCTACCGCTCAGATTTCTCTGTAATAGTGAGGCAAAGATACTTAAAGCATGTGAAGATAGGTTAACCTACCTGGTGACAAAAATGTAGAAGAAAAGATAAATCATTTTCTACAAACTAGACTTCTGGCCAAAAAGTACAAATGATTTTATTATATTGAAAATTTATAATATTCAAGTGAATACATTTAGTCTAAGAAAGTCTTTAATTCAAACTGGATTTTATGGTAGAGGTACATAGATATTAGTAGTATGAGGCGAATTTGGGTTTTTGAAATGGCACTGGTAGGTTATATGGTAAGATGAGTCAATATGGCTTGATTAGGGAACCTTACCATCCTTTTGGTGAACACCTCTGAGAGTTGTGCCGGTGCTGTGAGTGTGTCAAACAAGGAGAAATTTGTGCAAAGCATTCTTATCCTGGTGAACAGACTAATTCTAATACATCACAGCTTCTACTGCATACCCAGTGGAAGAAATTAGTTATAGTCCAAACTTTTGAAAATTACTTCCTCTCCAGTGAGACATTCAGAAGGTGAACGAATGAATAAAAGAAAATGACAAAATACTCTAAGTATCAATAGAAGATATAAAAATGAGTCATGAGAAGTAATTTTTCATAAAGAATCAGAAAATGGTGTCAGGCAATGAGAATGCAAGCAAGTTGGGACATTAAGAAAGGAAATCACCTTATTCACTCCAAGAGAAACTGTGATTGCTGGAAGTTTGAGAAAGCATGAAGATAGTAGATGTTCCTGAGGAAGGGAGGCGTTTCGTTACCTTGTTCACAATTGCACAAAAGGTGGAAAATTGCAGTAGAAAAGAGAAAAATGTAGAAACCATAAAAAGAAGGAAAAAAAGAAAAGAAAAAAGTAAATATTCTCTTAGATGTAAAACATTTAAAAAGAAACCTTGAGAACTGGAAGTACAAATGACATGTTAGTTTTGAAGACGTTACTTCCTAAAGTAAAAGTAGAGCTAGAAATAGTTGATTTAATTTATTATATGTGTCAGCTACAATTTTCTGTATACCAATTAAAAATTGTTTTGTTAATGGAAATGTATTATTTTAAGAAAACTAATTCTAAACTCTGCTTCTTGTTAAAATAAGGCTAATCTTTAATCATTACTTCACTATCTTATATTTATTTCAAATCCATGTCAGAGAACTATGTTCAAGGTCCATCACCAATTACTACTCTACCTGAAGTAACTCTCTCTTATCCAGTTGCACAGACACATTATGGGGGAACTGACTGTTCTTGGGTAGCTGTTAAAAATCTAATCAAAACTAATATAATGAGAAAATATTTGGTGATGCCACCATCTATTTGCCTCTGAGTTAATGGTTAATGTCCTTTCTTCTAGAACAATCTCTTCAGTTTCCTTATTTTTCATATGAGACCTCTTAAAAAAGGTAGGCTACATTTTTCATAGGTAATGTACAAATTTTTCAAAGTAAAAAAATTCAAAATTGAAAAAAGTTAGAAAACCTAAGAGATGTTTTCTCTCTTCTTCTGTGCCTGAAATTATAGCATAATTTACAGTTGGCTTTCTCATTATCCATCCAAAACAGAAGGTGGGTGGTCAACTGTGGATGGGGATGAGTCCAACAACTCTGCTAATCAAGATAACCCATATTAGTCAGGTATGGTGGTACGTAACGACAATCATATCATTCAGGAGTCTGAGGCAGAAGGATCACTATGAATCTGACACTAGCCTTGGTTAGAAAGAGAGACTATCTCAAAAAACGCAAATCAACGAAACAGCTAACCAATCAGAATATTACTTCTTAGTTACTAAAGAAAATAGGCTTAGGAAAATAAAGCAGTTCAAGCGATGTATGTATCCAGTAGAATTTAATAATCCAAACTTATTAAATATAAGTACTTTCTTTTATGTGTTTTGATATAAATATACTTCTATTTACATTTTACCTTAAATGGAGAAAGTTCATGAGACATGTTGGTAGCATACAAATTACCAATCGATAAAACTAAAGAAATATTTTAGATTGTGAGGAAAAAAATGATTCCATTTTCTATTTTGTGGGCAAAACCTTTGCAACAAGAATGATAGAAATTACCCTACTTCCAAGTTTAGTGTGCAAGCCTATCTATTTAAATTCTACAGCTATAAGCATACTTTAGGTTCAAAACTTGTATCCAACCATAAAAGAGAAAAGTATTAGAGAAAGCAGGAATTTCAGGGGCTAATAGATTAGTTATTAAGAGATATTTTATAAAGAAAAAAAGGAAATATGAAAGTACAGAAAGTAGCAGAAAGCATGAAAACAGTATCTAAAACAATAAAAAACTGATATAGATAGCAATTGGTAGTGGTAAGGAGGACAGGTAATAATGAGCTGAAACAGTGTGAAACTTCCATATTCCTTTGCAGTTATCAATAAAGCTTTGAAACCAGATTAGTAGTATGCCAAAAAGGCCACTGGATAAGGCTCATCTCATTCATTACAACAATATGATTTAGCTTTATTTTTGCTAATTTATTCTTCAGGGTTACTGTTCTCTGAACTCATGGTTGTATATGACACTGTTAATACTAGTCATCTTTATTATAATATATATTATAATATATTCTTTAAATTAAAAAAATATTCTTATTGTATATGTATGAGTGTATTGCTTGTATTAATTTAAGTGCACTGGTGTTATGCAAGGCTTGAGGAGGTCAGAAGAGAGCATCAGATTCCCCAGGGACTGGAGTTATGGACAAGAAGAGTTGTTAGCCACCATGCAGGTGCTGGGAATCAAATCCAGGTCTTCTGCAAGAGCAGCCAGTGCTCTTAACCACTGAGGCATCTCTCTAAGCCCTGCAATTTATTCTTAAAATGTTTCATTTTCCAAAATTTCCAAACACTCTTCCTGTCTTCTCCTCTTAAAGAGTCTCATACCTATATAAGTATCAGAATATTTATTCTGATGTGTAGACATCTTACACTAGGCATGGTGATGTTGCTGGGACCATTCCTACTAATTAGAAGAGGCTTCCCATGTCTAGCAGGCAATCAAGACTCACTTTTGATTGTAGTAGATTACAAGAGAATATATTATATAAGGGCAGTTGGAAAATCTCCCTGCTGGAAATGAGTAGTATTATTTACTACTTGGCTAGAAGGTACAGGTGTATTTCAATGATTGACAAACAGGCCATGATTGTAAATAGGAAATACAGCGTTATGAAATAGTCCAAATCCTAAGTGTCCAACTCCTCTCAAGTGTTATCTTGTGGTTTTACTGTTCAGTATTCAATGGTAGTTCCATCATACACTGTCAGAAGTATGGCTAAACAGTGTTGCCACTTCATAAGCTAAAGAAAACCTCTACTGTTGCCTTAACTTTTTAAATTAATTTTCATTTGATGTGCATCAGTGTTTTTCCCACATGTATAGAAGTGCATCATGTGCATGCAATGCCTGCAGAGGCCAAAAGTGGGCATCGAATGCCTTGGATCTGGAGTAACTAATGGGTGTTAGCCACCATGTGAGTGCTGGAAACTGAAACCAATTCCTCTGCAAGAGTAGCCAGTGCTCTTAACCACTGAGACATCCCTCCAGTCCTCTACTGTTCATAAAAAAAATGTAGCTTTAGAACAAAAATTAACCTCTTTACTGAAAATTTAGCTGAGAGGTATGTGGCTGAACTACAACTTTTGAATTAAGTAATTTAAGAGAGCCTAATTTTCAAAGATAGTGTTCTTTAAAAAACAAAAACCAGGGGGCTGGAGAGATGGCTCAGCAGATAAGAACACTGTTCTTGCAGAAGACCCGGGTTTGAATCTCAGCACCCACATGGCAGCTAACAATGTAACTCCAGTTCCAGGGGATCTCACAGCTTCTTCTGTCCTCCACAAGCTTTGCACATCATGGGTGCACTTACCTACATGCAGGCAACACAAACATACACATAAAATAAAAATAGTAAGTAAAGCATTTAAAAAATAAATAAAATAAAAAACAAAAAACATCTATTGAGATGACCATGTGGCTCTTGTCTTTGAGACCATTTATATGATTTGTGATGTTTACTGACTTATGTATATCAAACAATCCCTGCATCTCTGGGATAAAGCCAACTTGATCATGGTGGATGATCTTTTTGATGTGTGTCTGTATGCAGTTTGCAAGTATTTTGTTGAGAATTTATGCATCTGTGTTCATTAAGGATATGGGTCTATAGTTTTCTTTTTTTGGTTATATCTTTACCTGGCTTTGGTATTAGAGTGATGCTGGCTTTATAGAAGTAATTTGGAAGTTCTCCCTCCATTTCTATCTTTTTGAATAAATTAAGTAGTATTGGATGTAGATCACCTTTAAATATTTGATAGAATTCTGCTGTAAATCCATCTGTTCTTGGACTTGTTTTAGTTGGGAGGTTTGGTATTACTGTTTCAATTTCTTTTTGTGCTATGGGTCTGTTTAAGCTGTTAATCTCTTAGTTTAGTTTTGGTGGTTCCCAAGACTTTAGATATCCATCCATTTCTTTTAGGTTTTCAAATTTAGAAGCATATAGGCTTTTTAAGTATTATCTTATAATGTTCTGCATCTTTCTGGTGTCTGTTGTGGTATTTCCCCTTTCATCTCCGATTTTGTTGATTTGGAGGTGCTCTTTCTTTCTTTTGGTTAACTGGGCTAATGGTCTGTCAATCTTGTTTATCTTTTCAAAGAACCAGCTCTTAGATCGGTTGATTCTTGTTTTGTTTCAATTTCACCAATTTCTGCCCTGATTTTTGTTATTTCTTCTTGTCTTCTGGGTTTGGGTTTCATTTGTTGTTGCTCTTCCAGTGTCTTGAGTTGCAATGTTAAGTCATTTATTTGTGTTCTTTCCAATTTTTTGATGTAGGCACTTAGAGGTATAAACTTCCCTCTAAGGACTGCTTTCATTGTGTCCCAGAGGTTTTGTTGTGTTGTATTGTCCTTTTCATTTAGTTCCAGGAATACTTTTATTTCTCTCTTAATTTCTGTTTTGATCCATTTATCATTCAGGAGTGTGTTGTTT